TGAACCTGTTTTGCTTTTCTTTATTGTTTTTAGATACATGTACAGTTCCAGTTGTTGATATTCATAGTGAATGGCAAAAGGAGCTCTTTTCTCACCCTTGTATTTGTGTGATATCACTGAGGGGAAATTCCAAATATGGTCATTTCAGGCACACAGATCTGGCTCTGAACACAGCAGCCTCACTCACCTGCTCTCAAAGTTTCTATTTATGAAAGGCAACGAGTGAGAAAAAAGATGGTTTAAAAGGGGGGAGTTGTAAAGGGGGAAGGATTTAAGAAGCTGCACCAAGGCCTGATATAGCATAGGTGTGAACTGTGAATCATGCAAAAGTACTTGATTTCACTAGCTGGGCCCACGTCATCATTTTAGGTTTGACAGCGTTTTAGTAGGTAAAGGTGAATGCTTGGACATGAATTGAGCTGCGGTTTGGGGAAGGCCTTGAAGGGGACTGGCGACGGCTCCTGGGCCTGGCAGATCCCCAAAGAAGGCACCCCCTAGAAGCAGTAATAACTGTGCGATACGAAGGTCGAAGACGTCAGCGGAATAATTTGATTTTTCGATTTGACTTATTTATACAGCACCGAGCCACAGTGACAGACGCCTCGAGACCCTGCAATGATGTCTAGAGGAAAATCCAACAATCATATGACCCCCTATGAGCAAGCACTTTTGGCGACAGTGGGAAGGAAAAACTCCCTTTTAACAGGAAGAGACCTCCGGCAGAACCAGGCTCAGGGAGGAGTGGCCATCTGCCGCAACCGGTTGGGGAGAGAGAAGGAGAAGAGGACAAAGACGAGCACACGGAGAGCGAACGTCGTTCCGTGGTGTGGAGTAGATGAGCTCGGACAATTCGGAAGGAATGGCAGGAGAAGAGATCAAAGGAAGTTGCAAACAACAGAAATCTTAATGGATGAATGAGGGGAACCTTCGATCGGGTAGCGACGTGGCTTGACTTTGAGCTGAAGCTCTGACAGAGAAGAATGCTGGATTTGAGATTTGAGGTAGGGCTTGGTGGCTCGAAAAGCTTGTGAGCTTGTCTTTGAGTAGAAGATGGAGAGGGGTGCTTAGCTGGTTAATTACTTCAGATAAGTTAGCAATAACGACTGAGCTGATTTCTGAATTAACAGAAGTGACAGCACCAGCTCGGGAAGAGTTGATGAATTGAAAGACTGATTAGAGGAAAATAATCCGTATAATAATAACCCCCAAAATCGTCCGAGAGCAGAGTGCGAGTCCACTGGACTTCGTGGGAGATGATAAGCCGTTCAGACGCAGTCAGAACTGTGAGTCGACTTAGAGAGCAGTCTCGAATGATTGTGTCGAGGGTGAATGCCTGATGATGCTAGTGAAAGCACATGAGAAGTGAAGGGACGCCATGAAGAATTATGTGCACGACGCAGTTTGGATGTCTTAAAAGGAAAGGAGCGATAGAGGACAGGACCTGGCATCTCGGTACCACGAAGGTTCACCTTTCCTTTGCTAAGGCAGGAAAGATGGCAGCGAAACTGGCATTGCGGTGCAGAAAGCATGCTGCTGCATTTGCGAATGAGGGATAAAGAGAGAACCTGGCATCTCGGTGCCAGAAGGGTTTACTACTGCTTTGCAATAACGGATGCAGAGAAACTGGCAACGTGGTGGAAGAAGATTGCTGCTGTGATTACGAATGATGGATATAGAAGGAACCAGCTTGAAGGATTCTCTAGCCATGATGGATGGACAGGAACTGGCAACTCAAGGGTAAGAAGCTTGTCACTGCGGTTTGCACATGGCAGATATAGCAAGAACCTAACACCACTGTGCTAGAAGGGTTTGCTGCTGCTTGCAATGATAGAAGCGGAGAAACTGGCAGTTCGGTAGTAGGGAAGCTAGATGCTGCATGCAAATGGGGGATGAAGAAAAACCTGGCAACCTGGTGCCTTTTTATTTATTTGTCTATGCAGACAACTGCCAATCCGATGGTAGAAAAGCTGCTGCTGCTTTCGCGAATGAGGGATAAAGGAACCTGGCAACCCGGTGCCGACATTTGCTATGGAGTTTAGCCGAGGAGGGAAGAGGCAGTGAACCTTGAAACTCTGTGCCCGAAGCATGCTGCATTTGCTACGGAGGGAAGGAGTACTGGCAACTCTGTGCCCTTTTTCCCCCCCCCTTAACTATGCTGAGAAACTGGCAACCCGATGGTCGAAAAGCTTGCTGCTGCTTTTGCGAACGAAGGAGAAAGGAACTTGGCAACCCGGTGCAGAAATTTGCGAAGGATGGATGGGTGGCTGAGAACCTGGCAACCCGGT